ACCTTTACAATATGTATACAGTAGAATGTTCATAATTTTCCATGAAATTGTGATACATGTGTCAGTAATGTGTCCACAATATATGTTTATTGTCACAATATTACGTGGTAAAAATTCACTAAAATTACAATATGTACAGTTTCACATACTATTTACACAGTAACACACTGTATTACACACTCAGTACTTTGGAGGTGCGTAATAGTCAACGAAGTAGTCCATGGTACACAGCGCGACTTAGCTCTACTTGCACCAGCTACAGATAGATTTTCGTTTCCTGTTTCATCGTTCTGTGTGCTTGCAAATAACGCACTCGCGTGCACCCTTGGCTTTAGTACTTGTAGGTGGTATGTAGCCAAGCTTGTATAGCATAAGGTAGTATTGAAACGATTATAGGAAAAGCTCAATTTGTAAGGTAGTCTTGAAAAGATCACTTTGTAAGGTCCCATACAGGAAGAGATTCAGCTAGCCTCAAAGAGTGTCTATCAGTCAGGAAGAGATTCAGGTATTCTTGAAAATATCAATGAACACCACCACCATGGAAGCCGCTAACACTGTTCATCTATGCTACCTGTATCAGATGCATCATCACTGAACGCAGAAAACGATTCGTCTATGTATCATCTATATAAATTCGAGATGGCAAGGGTGGGGCTCAGAGCTACAACTGGATACGCTCGCTGTATCATCCTCATAGGTGCTGTATCACTGGCATCCGACCGTTGTGTTAAAACCTTATTGCGCCTAGCTTCACCAATGTTATGACCCTTATGTTCTTCAAACAATAGGGTCTGAATTGCACCGACTGAGCGCAGTCTTTCAACACCGTGTGGGACAGGTGTTTGAGAGCCAGAGGCATGTGTGCTACAAATGGTTGCTCATGCAGTACTAACCCAGCCAGCAGCCCTTGTCTTTCATATTCGTTATAGCAAAAGGTTCGTTCAGTGTTTGTTGGGTAGGCTGCTCCAATATGACAATCTTTCTTTTTTTCAAATGTGTTCCATTTGTTTTGTATTTGTCACTTACGTCTCAATAATGGAGCAGCCTACCCGACAAACACTGAACGAACCTTTATGGCATTTGTCCATTTTTCATATTGTTTCAACAGTTCTTTTATTTTTCGTTTTTTTTTTATTTAAGAAACATGGAACAGCCGACCTGTAGACCACCGAACGAACCTTTTTGACATTTGTACTGGTTTTCAAAATTCTTCATTTTTTTTTATTATTTACGTTTTTTGTATGCAAGAAACAGAGCAGCCTACCTGCCGACCACCGAACGAACCTTTTGCTACAAGACAAATGAAAAATAAATATTGAACACATTTGAAGAAAGGAAAATGTCGTAATGGTTTATTCAGTGTATATAAGGTAGGCTTCTCCATTATTGAGACGTAAATGACAAATACAAAACAAATGGAACACATTTGAAACAAAGAAAGATTGTTATAATGGAGCAGGCTACCTGCCGAACACCGAACGAACCTTTTTGACATTTGTTGTATATCAGACATTTCATTTCTTTTTTTCTTACAAAAACGTCAATGCCTTGCAACATCTCAGCAGTCACCCTTTTATATCCCAGCATCATTAGCATCTTTAAACAAGAATAACATAATTTATGTGCATCGTCGGAGGCGTCTAAGAATGTGCAAGAAGCAGCGCGACCCCACCATGTGGTGTTGACGTTACTCAAACCAGCGCTCGTCATACGGGACGATTTGACGCCGATCGGGCCGTTCGTTACCCAAAATGTTCGTCTTTTGGGGCGATCGTTATGCGAGGTACCACTGTACTTGTATATAATGTGTGTATATAGTGTAATAAGAGCAAAACTATTTGTTTATTGTTTTATGATTGTAATAATTGAATCACTAATAAAAACACCATACTTTTGAGTATAGCGATGATTCACACATTTTATTATATAAATCCATTGCACTACACACTATTCAATAATATTACTGCAAAAAACTAATTAAAAATCAATCGGAGTCATTGAAATAATTAGGTAATAACATCTTTGTGGCAAATCCTTCCTGACAGCTCGGGTGACGCTGACCTCCTCTGACGAATGCTCTGTCAACGTCCACATTTTGCCAGATTTCCTCGGCCTATTGAGCAGAAAATATGTCGCCTACGATTTTTTTCCCCCCGGGCTCAGGGAACACAAATTAACATTTTTAGAAAACGATAAAAAGTTTAGAATTTTTTTCTTGTGCACAAGGGTGTAAATCCCCTTAGCAGCTTAAGGGTTAAGAAACATGGAGCAGCCTATCTGACAAACACTGAACGAGCCTTTTGCTATTAAAAAAATGAATAAGAAAAGTGAACAAAGTTGAAAAAAGGAAAAATGTCATGAAGGTTTGTTCAGTGTAAATCAGGCAGGCTGTACCATTATTTAAAAAATCTAATATAATTTTGATGTTTTTTGATGGTGGAATGGATTATTTTTATTTCCAATATTTTAAATGGGGAAATTTGTTTTGAAAAATGAGCATTTCACATGACGAGCTCAGTGCTGGAACGGATTAAATTCGTTAATCAAGGTTCCACTGTATTTCACCATCCATGTATTTAACCCTTAACCCTCAAACCGCTAGGGATCAAAATGGCTTTTTAACACCCACAGGCACAACAACAACAAAAATTACAAAAAAATCTTGCGTCTTATAAGTGTTCATTTTTGTTCCCTGATCACGGAAAAAATAAAAAATAAAAATCGTAGGTGGCATATTTTAGCTGCAATAGGGTATGGAAGTCTGGCAAAAAAGGGGCGTTGACAGAGCCTTCGCCAGACGAGGTCTACTCCTCTTGAGCTGTCAGGCGGCAGTTGCCACAAATATATTATTACCTAATTATTTCAATGTCTCCGATTGATTTGTTCTTAGTTTTTTGCAGTAATATTATTCAATACTGTGAATTGTAAATATATATTTATATAATAAAATGTGTGAACCATCGCTGTACTCAAAATTATGGTGTGCATATTAGTGATTCAATTATTATGTTCATAAAACAATAAACAAAAAGTTTTGCTGTTATTACACTATATACACAGGTTATATATAAGTATCTGCATGTTTTGCTCACCATAACGAACCACTAAGTTGGTACTGTGAATAAATATGCAACGAAGAGTGACTGCCACACACCAGCCAGCCACTTGCTGCCACTCCCTCCCTCAACACCTCACTCCCCCTCATTCTCCTCCCACAACACTGTTTTTGCATTTATTCACTATACACCGATGTTATATATAAGTATTTACATGTTTTGTTCACCATAACTGTACATCTAAGCTTGTATGGTGAGTAAAGGCACAAAGACGTAGCTACTCACACAGTCAGCTGGTGGCGGCAACCCTCAAGGCCAGACGCACTAATATTTCTCCTCCAACAATATTGTTTGTGGTGTTATTATGCTACATATACACATTATATATAAGTATCTACCTGTTTTATTCACCATACCTGTACAAATAAGCTGGGATGGTGCCCAAAGACCATAGTGGCCACCAGTAAACATGATAAATCGTACAGGCGACGCACCTCCCTCACCAAAGTGGCGGCTCCCAACCTACTCCTATTGCTGTTATTACACTCTATACACACGTTATTTAAATATCACATTTGTGTTCGCCATAGCAAACCACTAAGCTGGTATAGTGAGTGCAGTCAATGGCCACACACAGTCAGAAGATGACGCCACCACCCTCCCTCCCACAGCATTACTCCTCCGTCCATGGAGCACAGCGCTAAATATATCCACAATCCTGCTATTATCAGAATCCTGGTCAGTTTTGTAAGGTACGGGATTGAAAGCCGTACCCTAGAGTATCACTAACAACACCCGCTCTTACTTTCTTATAAATAATGGGAGTGCAGGGATCTATATATAATAATCACCAGTTCTAACTACATGGGACAAGAAATACACCTTGGAGTACAATTTTACAAAAAGGATTTTATTTAACAAATACCAGATTTCCTCACACTGATTGGAACGGGGGGGGGGGGTGTACTTGGATCCACACACAGGATTCCTTCCCAAACACACAAGGAGACTACTGGCACAAGGGACCCCACACAACGGTTTAGGCCTCTACAACCTGGGACTTAAGGTCATTACTCTATTCCACTCCTCATAGGTCACTACAAAGGGCATGGGTTTTACATGCACTACTCTAACCACAATACACAAATGGATGTACAAAGTAAAATGGATAACCCCATGTGGACACAGCTGAGCACATGCACCTGAATTAACAACACACCACTCTCCCTACACACAGGGTTCTAAAATCCTTATTTCCACAAATTCCTATTTCTAACTCATAGAAAAAGGGAAGCACCGCTATAAACATCTATAATACTGCACTTATCGTATTTGTTGGAGACCATCCACAACACTGGTCTGGTTCTCACTGCCTCTCTCTCCCAAGTGACTGATAGGGGCTTGCACATGTCCCTGCCTGCCTGGTTCCAATAATGTCTCATCCCTATACATGTCATACACATTTCCCAATACTTCATTTATATGTCTTATAATGTTCCAGGCTGTTTTTCTACATTTAACACTGTTGTTTCTCTATATTTTCTTGCAGTGAATCTGCTTTTTCTTAACCATTTTATCCCTTTTGTTTACATTTTTTTTTTAAGAGATTACATTTTCCTGTTGAGATGATGCTCTGTGCATCTGAAAAGGGTCAGAGTTCCAGACTTTTTTTTCAACATTTAACACTGCTATTTCTCCCTACACAAGAGTATCTTTCTTATATAATTCCCCTTCCCGTGGGGGACAAGAAGAAGAGAAAAAGTCATGTAAATTTGAAGAGTTTACGTAAATTTTTCTTAGTACACGGTACGTCTAACTCAATGTAAAATTTCCAAGTGGGGCTATTAGCTAGCTAACTAAAAACAACAATGTATCCTGTAACTACAGACACAAGTGGTGATTGCTCTCCACTTGTTCAACACCGCAGGAGACACTGCAACTTACAACAAGCTTCACACCTGTAGGGTCGCTCCCAGAACTGTTCCACTTGACCTGTCAGGACTCACCAGACCAACGGAGGGGAGTGTGAGGGAGGTAGGCATGCTGTAGACTTGAGCTCTTGGATCGCAGGCGTAGACGTGGCTGCAACTGGTAGAACACATCTGGATCAACAATGAGAGGATGCCTCTTTGGATCCTGGATCATATCTTAGGTTACTGACATCTGTTAGTTTGAGTAACTGGAGCCAAAACCTGGCTGTCACTCAGGTGACCTACTGTCACAACAAGATGCCACACTACTGACACAGGTCTCCTTCTTGATTTGACTGTACCCGTGGTCTACAAGGGAGACCCAAGTCGAGACATGCTAACGACTATGATGGTCACTTGACAACCATAAGGGAACTCAAAAGGGAGACTCCTGGGTACTTGACACCCAGTATTCCATGGTTTCTTAAAACTAAAGGTCGTACTTTACCCTGTACCCTTTCATTCCGTTTCTTCAAGGTGCAGGACCATTATTCCTCATTTTTTTTCTCTTCGTGCTTCTGCTTGTTCCCGACTTCCTCTTCTTGGTGCATGTTCATCTTTTTACAAAGACTAGCCCCATCTCTCCTCAACCTCTCTCCATGGTCTGTTCTGTCCGACTTGTCGGTGTGGCTGTCCCAGGGCTATCCGTAGGGAGTTCCACATGTTGGTCCGTGTAGACCCTCCACACTATGATGTGTCCATAAACAGGTACCAACCGTCTGTTGAGGGTCAATATAAACATAAGTGGGGTGTACATGGTCACAACTCAAAACATCATCCCTGAAGGGATTTACATAACAGGTAGACCAACAACGACAAGTGCATAGAGTTATAGCGGTCCCTTACCTAACTAGCTAAACATAATATACAACAATACATATGGAAAGTAGAAATTGGCCACCTAGGGTGGATCGAGTCTGGTTTTCAATCTGATCTGCATGGCATGGGTAGGTCCAACATGTCCACTCAGCAACTCTAACAGGGGATCACTTTTCTCTTCTGTGGCCTCATTGGTATCCTGATTGTCTAGCTCTGCATGGGGCAAGTGTAATTCTTCTTTGGGATGGAATATTTTTAATTTATTAACATGGACCAACTTCTGCTCCCTATCATAAATGTGTTTGATTAGGATATTTACAGGGCCAGTCTTTCGAATCACTCTGTAAAGTCCCTTCCACCTATCCCGCAAGGCCCCTTGGGTTATTTTCAGACAATAACACAATGGAGCCTTTCTGTATATTCATTGGCTTGACATCTCTGTCATAGTAGTGAGCATACTTCACTTGGGCCTGCCTGGAGGCTTCGGCGGCCGCTCTCCAGACACCGTGCATCTTCTGCACCACTTAAGAGGAGTAATCTTCCCCATAATGAACCTGATGATTATTTATCAAGCCAGACGTGAAATTACAGGAATGCCCGGTAAACAAGAACATCGGTTGGGTGTCAATGCTTTTGTGCACAGCTGTGTTGATAGCCATTTGGACATATGGTAAACTTGACACCCACCCCAAGGGATCAGAACTACACAGAATGGCCAGGGTATCCTTGATGGCACGATTTGTACGTTCAACCATACCGTTGGCCTGGGGATGGAACGCAGTTGTTAAGGCTGAGTTGGTCTGTACCAAGGTACACACCTTAGCAAATAATTGGTTTAGGAATTCAGATCCTCGATCCGTAACCAGGGTTTTCGGGGGGGCCAAATATACATACAAATTTATGGAGGAATGCTTCTGCCACTGTCTCTGGGTCTTTCCTCTCCAACGGGATAAGGGTCGTGAACCTAGACAAATGATCCACTAACATTAACACATACCTGTGCACAGTATAACTATTGTGTAGGTCAATCAGGTCAGCCCCAATCAGGTCATTATCTAGTGGTTCATGAATTTCGGGGAAGGGTTGGAGGGGGGCAAGCACCTGCGTACTTCCCTTACGTCGTTGACAGGGTTCACATTCTTTTACAAATTTTGCTGTATAAGACAGCAAGCCAGGGAAATAAAATGATTGTTTAGCCTGTATGTACGATTTGTAAATCCCTGGATGACCTGCAATCTTGGAAGAGTGGACCAGCTTTAACGCCACATTTCTTAGGGCATCGGGGATAACTAGTCGATATACTGATTTAGTTGGGGTCTCCATAATGTGGTATAGTACCCCATCTACTATTTCAAATTCTGCAATGGGGGTATTTACTTTCTTGGTTGGGAGATCGTTACCTTCTAGATAGTTAATTACCTTAGCCCAATGCTCTCCCTTCATTTGACATTCTTGCAACGTCCCTTTATCGAGTGTGTCTATATTGAAATCTACGTTAATTTGGGTCACATTACGGCTTAAGGTATGCGGGATGTAATGTGCTGCACCTGACTTATAGACACTGTTAAAACTGTGGTCTGACAATTCATAACCCCAACGAGACATCCTATTACACTTTGTTCCCTTCCTAAAAATGTATACCAGGGGCTGGTGATCAGTATAAATAGTGAATTTCCTCTGGACAACGTAAGGTTCAAAATACCTAACGGCTGACACCACTCCCAGAGCTTCTTTATCCGTGGTGGTGTACCTTAACTCGGCTCCTTTTAACTTCCTACTAAAATACCCTATGGCATAAGGCACACTGTCTTCATCTCTCTGCATTAAGCAAGCCCCTACAGCTATATTAGAGGCATCACTATGGATCTCAAAATTCTTATTAAAATCAGGGATTCTCAGAACAGGGGTACTGGGTTAAGAGGTCTTTAATTTTATTAAATGCTTGCTCCTGTTCCGTGTTCCAGACAAATTTGGTCTTCTTCCGCAGTAAGGCTGTTAATGGGGCAGAAATACCCGCCAAGTTCGGGATGTGCCTTCTAAAATAGTTATAAAACCCTTGGAATCGTCGGACATCCCGTATGGATCGAGGTGAGGGCATGTCTTTAATAGCTCTACAAGCCTCGGGTTCAGGGCGTATCCCATCCGTGCTCAAGTGAAAGCCCAGGAATTTAAAACTGAGAAACAAAGACACATTTTTGGGCATTTAACTTGAAGCCTGCCTTACTTACTAGAGTTAGTGTTTCATTTAAATCTTTAAGATGGTCTTTCAATTCTCTGAGTAGATAATGATATCATCCAGATATGCCAGGGCGTGCTTACCGAGAACGGGACTTCGGATGAAATTGATGGCCCTCTGGAACATGGAAGGGGCAGTTTTTAGACCGAAGGGCATCCTGAGAAATTTGAATAAATGTACACCATCACTGAAAGCAGTCTTCTGTCTAGCCTCGGGTGCTAAAGGAATTGCCCAATAGGCTGCTTTGGCATCTAGGGTAGTGAAATATTTAGCCTGGCCAAAACTATTGAGGATTTCTTGAATTAAGGGAAGAGGATAAGAATCCGCAACTGTCTGTTCGTTGACTTTACGGTAGTCAATACAGAATCTGTACGTCTTGTCTGGCTTACGTACAAGAACAGGGCACAGCCAAGGGCTGTGATTGTACTAGATAATGTTCTTAGCAAGCATAGACTTGTTCTTCCTTTATCAAGCGTTTGGAAGCTTCCGGTAATCTCCACTGCCTTGTCTGCACTGGTACACTATCTCCTGTGGGTATGGTATGGACCACTTCTGGGAGAAAGGCAAAAAGGTCTGGAAAATGTTTTAATAAATCCCTGAGCTGCTGGCTCTTAGGAGCTAGACATTTAAGATTTAAATTTGAAATGTGGGCCTTCTCTTCTGCCTGCTCCCCCTTGTCCCAATAACTGAGGTGACAGCTCAGCACTAGGTGACATCGTAATGCCACCCACATTAACCTGAGGTTGGCCAAAGGAACTGTCTGGATCTACTATACACTCCTCAGAAATTATTACAGACTCAGTTAATCTATCCCCAGTGTGAAAATTGAAGGGTTGGTTGGATACGTTAACTACAGGTAGATAAATACCTTTAGCTGTGACGGAAATCACATGGTGAGGAACTAGAATTCTCCCAACACAACCCTTCACTACCAGGTTACTTCCCAGGGGTACTTTACGCCCTACAGCAGCATGGATAAAACTTAAAGAATTAGTGGGACAGACCTGATTTGGACAGGCATGGATGAAACAACCGGAAATGGATGGGTGGTTAGGGCTTTTACCCTCCCCAAAGATGTTTATCAGGTTTACAATTATAACATTCTTAGGTTTGTTACTTATGACAGCTGACAGAGGAGGAAATTCAGTAAACTTGACAGGGAATGAGGTGTTTCCTAATCTCAGTCTGCAGGCACTCAGCGACTTACCAACTGACAGAACATAAGAAAATCTGTAAGAAATCTACGCCGAGCAGTATATCACCGGGAAATTTTACATCATTCCCAACAGGGCAGGTGTGTACAGAAGGTTCAGAATTGAGGTTAAAATTTAATGCTACTTGGCCTACAATATCCAGACTGTTACCTGTTACCGCAGTCAGGTTTTTCCTACACGCCTTAATCCTACAATTTGTCAGGCCCACTAAACTAGGACTCTTAACCACCGTGCTGCGCGGAGTTTACTGTGAAATTCCCACGGTGCGCATGAAATAAAGTGTTCCCAATAATTCTTTTTTCTTCGTAAAATGATAAATTCCCTTCCCTGAACATGTCTATGTAAAAATAAATACCAAATTCACTTACTTTGGTTGTGAGGACGTGGACAAGGTGCGCTGTGACGTCATCAGGGCCTGGTCGCCTGTGCGTGACTCGCCCAGACACGGTCGCGCGGGCCATTCAAGCACCGGGTGTTGCCACAAATATATTTTCAATTATTTGTTATATGTATTTCCAATGCAATTTTATTTGTTTTTTTATCATATATGATGCATATTAGTGTCCTTTACAATATGTATACAGCAGAACATTCATAATGTTCCCTGGAGTTGTGATACATGTGTCAGTAATGTGTCCACAATAAATATTTATTGTCGCAATATTACCTGTTAAAAATTCACTAAAATTACAATATGTACAGTTTCACACACAATTTACACAGTAACACACTGTACAATGGGGCCTCGACTTACGATGCTAATCCGTTCCCAGAGACGGATCGTAAGCCAAAATATCGTAAGTCGAAGCGATTTTTCCCATAAGAAATAAAGAGATTTGAATTAATCCGTTCCCCACCCTCCAAAATATTAACATACAAATACACTTTATACTGAATACAATGTATTTTTTAACTACAATACAGTACCAAAGTGTCTCTTACCTTTATGGAGGGCTCTTGATGGCGTATGGAAAATGGTGATGAGGGGGAAGGAAGAGAGTTGTTCCTGTTTGGAAGGGGAGTCCCCTTCCATTATCACATCAGGCAGTGATGTTTTCTCTGGGGTACTCTCTCTCCTACGTTTTGCCTGAATACCACTAGGACCTGGTTGTGGTTCAGTGCTTGTTTGTCTCACTACAAATTTGTCAAGAGGCATTTGTTTTTCCCTTCGTTTTAACATTTGTCTGTAATGATGCATCACAGTGTCATTGAATAGGTTAAGGCAATGACCTACTGCAGCTTGATTTGAGGGAGTCGTTTCAGCAAAGGTTTGCAAGTCTTCCCATGCTGCACACATTTTCTTAATTGCTTTGGAAGAGACATTCTGTACTCTTGTTTCTGCTCTATGGTCATCCTTACATGGGTTTTCATATGTTGAACCTTACCACTGACTTTCCTAGGACTCATGGCATGATATATAATAATTACTTTAATGTTCAAAATGCAAAAA